TGTTATTTTGAGGCCATGTTGAAAAATATTCAATTCTTACAGTGAAAAAAATTTACTCAATTACATATTTCTTTGTGAATAGTAAGTAAACTAACAACAAATAAATATTTACTTATTAAAAAATAATAGTTAAATCAAATTAATATTGTTATTGTGCCAAATAAATATATGTTTACATTTAGTAAATATTTACACTTAGAATTATTCGGACAAGTATGCATTAAAATTTATTATTTTTTTAGTGCAAGTTTTTATTGTAAAGAGAAAATATATATTTCTTGAGCATTTTTTAACCGTATTTTAATTGCTCAAAAAAACTTTATGATATACGAAGAAAGAAAGTTAATCTCAAATATATTAAAATATTAAGCGAGAAGATATTCTGAATTTACTTCGTTAATTGAAATATTATTTTCTGTTTATCAGAAATTACTCTTTGCTTAATATTATACCGAGCTTTGTACATCGCTTTTGAATACGCTGTTTTTTTTGTAATTTTTTTAACCGAAGATAATTTGGCGACATATGTAGCTCGAATATCGTGTAACCTTGTAAGAACTTATCTCCTGTGGGTTCGACTGCTGATTACGATTGTAGCACAAGCAACAACTTTTATCACAGCTATATAGTATTCACAATTGTTGCTATATTTGAACTTTATCATACTAAAAAGAAGATAAAAATAAAGACTAACAGTTAATTCCTACTGGTTCATCAATTACAATGTATCAGCTGATTGATTATCATAAGCAGTACGAGGAGTGAGAGAATTATTTAGGAATTATTAATGAGAAAAAGAAAATTTATGTTAAGCAATTTAAATATTGCAAGATAATTGTACTAAAAATATCACAATGTAAAAATAATAATATAAAAGACACAAGACAAAATTGAATAAATTTATTAAGCAATGAGACATACGAGAGGATAAGAAATATGCATAAAAGACAACTGGACTCTCTTTTTCTGAAGATATATATAAGAGACACATGCACGATTCAGAAGATAACCGAACCGAACTGAGATACGAAGAATAGGTGACGTAGGGTTATCTTTAGCTTGCACGTTTCTCCCTCGTATGGGTGGCAGGATTTCAGGGTGAAAAGGAAGGTAGCTCTATCCACTTCGTCGACCTACTTCGCCGCAACTGATCTGGCCCGAGCGAGCGCTCTGCGGGTATCCGGCGAACGAACGAGCTGACGTCACGACAGCCAACCATCCAGCCAGCAAGCCGCCGGCGTACCAGCTGATCTAATATAACCACTCGATGAGAGAGTACGCCACGTGGATTTCTGGTTCCGTGGACCTCCACGTGCCGTTATGAATGATAGCTGATGAATGCCGCGGCCTGATTCAATCCCTCGCGTGTTACTCAGAACAATTCAACCGTGTCTAGCGCGAGAAAAGACGCTTCTTTTCGAAAGTGGCAATACGTTTTGTAAACTTAATGGAATAATGATTCATTGTATACTATCAATATTAAATTGATAGTATTGACTCTTGTGGCTATACTATATTTACGACGGTAATTGTGACTAAAATATTGATGACGATAAACGTGACACAATGTGGAAATTAATATATAACAAACACGGATGAGAGTGGCTTCATTAGCTATGAGATGTCTCGTTGTCGACGTTCCGTATCGTATTTAATTCGCGATTGATGAGGATTAGCATCACGATAGAGAAATTGTCTGTTTTTTTTTTTTTTGAAGTTATAACAACAGTTAATATGGGATGAGAGTTAAATTGCGGAATAATATAATGCTATATTATAACACACTTCAGCCATTGTAGAGTCAAGGCTTTCGACGGACGATCGTGATTTGAAAGCGTCATTACACCTTCGTGCGTGTGGCCGCAGTTTCGTGGTATTTGACTGACATCTTCGAATGAGTAACTGTTAATATTTCAACGAAAGAAAATTACTGGACGAGTGACAAGCGGTCAATAAAGTATCGTGACATTTAAAGACACTCTTCCTATTTTTACGTATTGTTATTGGCTATTTGGTAATACGTTTTATGAACAATAAGCACTTTTATATTGGAGAAAAACTCATCAACAATATATCTCTTAAATCTTTACATGTGCACGTCGGCAATATATCACCTTTTTCAAACATTTACCAGATATATTATGTTTTTATACGGCCTGATCTATGGTCTAAGTTACTTTATACTTCAAATTAATCTGGCTCACAGCCTGACCTGATTTCAATTTAATTTATAACCAACGCAATTTCATTATGTTGCGTTACTCATATATGGAATCATTACGGGGAATCGTGAAAGATTCTAAATGATTGCACTATAAATAAAAATGATTGCGCGGTTATGTTTTTAGCCTTTACATTCGTATTATCGACACGTGGCGTTTCGGCGTAAGGTGCAAGGTCACGGTCTTCTCTTGCTGAGTCATCCTCGCGGCGCTATAGCCGCCATCTCGATCTTTCTCCTCTTCAGCTCTCTTTCCCATTGCTTTTCTTACTACTGCTCGTTAACGTATAATTTTCCCAGCTGTTTGTTGTTTCCTCATTTACCGACTTTACCTATAAGTTAGTCTACAATGTTACGGAATGAGCACTGCATTATTAAGGACTTCGCTAACTTATTTATAAGTTCCCCGGAGTAGACTACAGCACGTAATCATACATAACGACACTTATATAACTTTGATGGATTTAAGGAACGAATCCCTCTCAATATCAATTTTAATACAAAAATGACCTTGTACATTAAAAGTAGATGCAGGGTCTAATAAATTTAACGACATTTCTTTTGAAGATGTTTTAATAATCAATTTCGTTACTCTTTTTTTTTTATGTTTTAGATATATGAATATTAAATTTAAATGATTTAACGAATTATTGATTTGTTAGCACAAACGTTAGTACAATAGATAAAATAAGAGAAATTATATTTGAAGAATTATAATAAATTTAACAAAGTTAGATATTTGATAAAAAAAAGAGTAAAATCTCTGATATCCGCAAATAATTTGTATTATTTCACACTTTAAACTCTGGAATGTTATATTGTTATACAACCTGCCTGTTAGTTTTATCTTTAATCATGATTATTTTGAGTGTTGAATATGAATGAAATTCTTAGTTGTTTACAACTAACAAACATTTTATCCTCGCACTTTAACTGAAATTTATGCTTACGTGACGTTTCATATGCGTGCTTACAGCTGACCTTTATGATGAAATCCATGCGCGTGATATTCGTGATAATATATACGTGCGTTTTTCTCGTGTTATATTTGCGTGACGATTCATGTAAGGTACGTTACGCGTGGCGTGCTATGGATATGTGCGGAAATTAGATAAGCTATGAAATATTTACTAGATCCCGGCAGTTTAAAAATAAAATAAATATAACGCGTATTAAACAAAGTATATTTTACGATGTCGTGTGAATATACAACAAATAGGAAATAAAGGCCCTCGACGATCAAGTTGGATTTTTAATACTTAAATAATTTGGTGTGAATTTAATTCAATTTTTAATCTTAAAACGCAATCCTAACAGAATTAGAGTAGTAATATCACAAATTAAATAGCAAGCAATTTAATAATATTGCTCTTAAAAAGACTTTTAATAATCTGATGCTGATAATCTTAAAATTTATAAATATTACATACCTATCTTACACAATCATACATCTGGACGTTATAGGAAAGATTTAAACATAGAAATAGTTTATAGGAGGGGATAAATATATTTATGTTTATTTTAATTGTTATATTATTATTAACAGTTTCTTGTTCAATTTGTTTTTTTTTTATTTATTTTTTTTAATGTTAGGGTGAAGTTCTATAGATATATATTTATTTGAAAGAGAATAAGTTAATTAATTTATCTATAATAATATATAATAATAATATTTTTAAAGATTATTGTAGGTTTAATAATAAATTGAATTTTGTTTTTACTTGATTCTATTAATTTGTACTGTTAATATAATTGACAAATTAGCATTACCTAAACCGCGTTGGAGGTATGAAAAAAATAATGATGTTAGTAAATGTAAGTGGTCTATCAAATGACAGATTCCGTGCGGCCGGCGCAGAATGTTTGCGGACGTGCGAGCGGTCGGAAGCGCGAGAAGAAGCCTTTGAAGCCGCCGCCGAGAAGCGTCAACGACGTCCCGCTTCATTGATCGCGAATTCAACCGTCCAGAAATCCCGCAGTCGTCCGCTGCGCGCATTCGTTGAAGTAAAAAAGAAAGAGGAATAGACGAGAGGAAAAAAAATGTCTCCTTGCTTCCAATTTTCTTAAAAGCTCTCGCGTTACGAGGCGAGATAAGGCGAGTGGGTGTCGCGTGTTCGATCTCAATCGTGGTCGAAAACTCGACGAAATGTCAAAATGGCGGGTCACGCGCGTAAATGTGCGTGCGCGTGTATCAGTGTCCTCTTTGTCTCTCTTTCTCTCCCTATGCCGGCGTCGCTTCGATTCGGACTCTATCTTGTTGATAGTTGTACTGGAATACTTTGACCATGGGCATTTATCGCCCAACGGAAATGTCTTTTTTTAAATAGCGATGATACGCGCAGCTGTCTGTATGCGAGGTATAATTAAAATAAATTGATGTAGATATAAATATATAAAGATTCAAGAGTTTGTCAAGGAGCGCAGTCTTTTAGTACTGAAGGATTCGAGCGTTAGTGTTTCGTGTAATTAACGTGAAGCCTGGGAAACTCGAAAGATGTTGTCTATGAAAATTTAATCATTACAAAATAATACACACGTTTGACGATTAAAATAATTTCAAACATTAACGCCCAGTTTCACAACTCATGATTAACTCTTAACCAAGGTTTAACTTGTTTCTCATCTCTTTCTAATGCTATTTAGAATTGGAAAGACCGCGAGTTGTGAAACTGAGCCTAAATGTTAGTACCTATCTACTATATAGAATTTATAGACTAAAATAAAATATCAACTTTAAATGATGTAAACTTTATATGCTTTATAATTTATTTGTCCGCAGGAGCGTCGAGACGGTGGACGACGGCTCGGTGACCACGAGTGTGACGGTCGCCGAAGTCGCTGATACTCAAGAACGGCAACCGCAGCAGCGGCAACAACCGCCGCAATCAAAAGGTAACGTCGGGGTTGGTCGGCGGGTTGCTAGTCAGAACGTTGCGTTGAGCAACGGAAACGGTATCAGCAACGTTGGCCGTGTTGCGTCGCGCAGCCACATGGAGCAGGAGAAGCGAATGCGGCGAGAAATCGCCAACAGCAACGAGCGACGTCGTATGCAGAGTATCAACGCCGGATTTCAATCGCTGAGGACGTTGCTGCCGCATCACGAGGGCGAAAAGCTGTCTAAGGTAAGTGGCTTTTATATCGACCCCCCTAGCCAGAGTCGTGTGTATTTTATTTATATTTCGAATAATCAAATTATTATCATTTATTGTTATTTTATTTATTCACAAAATATTATTTTACAGAAATCTAATATTGGCCAATTTATTGAAAGACAGTAATTAATTACTTATTTGGAGCACTGAATAATGCTTTTAATATTTGAAATAAGTAATTAATTATTGTTTGTTTTTAATATTAAATTGGCCATTATTAGATTTCTGTAAAGATTAGTAATTAAAAATAGAATTATTATATAAATTTTATATGTTAAATGAGATATTTTAAATATAAAATTATCTTATTATTGTAATATACATCACGTATAATGGAAAATATCGTGAGCTCAATTTTAATAAGTATGCAATGTTTTAATGTACGTAAAGTTTTTAATTTTTTTTTTTTTATAATGATGAGAAAAAAATTTATTTTTTATTCTCCACGACTCTGGTTTGGATACTGAAAATGTGTGTTTTTTTTTTGTACGTTGGTATTGTACAAGAAATCAGGTGTGCCGATACGAGAATGTGCGAGGCATACTTGGTATCGTATTATGATCAATCTTTTTGGTTGAAATGAGAATTGTATCCATGCGAAATGTTATCATTATCGCCGTATTCCTCGTAGCTTGAATCGCTTGCTCATTCGGTATGAATCATTGTAAAAGAACTGAAGAACACTTCCTCCAATAAATTTTTCCTGTGCTGGAGGACAGTCGATCAAGCTTGAGTAATAAGCTCATTCATCCATTCATCGCTTCGTGTTTACGTCTTTCCATGGATACATTAGAAGGAATGCACAATCATTGCATGTGTCTTATAAGAGAGAGAAATATTGCGAAATCTAAAAAAAATTAATTAATAAATGTTTTAATTTGTTTTCACATAAAATCGCAAGATGTTTAGATCTTGATGAAAGTCATAAGGCATTAAACATGAATTTAATTTTGTCCAAGCTCCGCGCAAATAGATTAGTCGAAAATCATTGCATGAGGATAATTCGAATCTTAATGCACGATTGCTTATATTGTGCAAGCATTGTCTCATCACAAATCGCAAAGCATAAGTTTTTTTTTTCCTTTCCTTTGTCGTAATGCATCCAAACTTGGAAAATTCTCATTTCGTCCATGTGCAAGATGTGGCGCGCACAAAATATCTTTTATGTCGCGCTCGTGCACAAAGGGAAAATCGAGATGGACTACCGCCAGTATCGTAAGAGTGGGTCACGCCTTTGTACTAGTACCACCTTGCGATTTTTTTTTTGACTTTTCATTTAAACTCCAGCGACGCACTCAATCGATATGTGATTATTTCGGATCGTTGGGACGTTGTGCGAGTATTTGAGCATCCAATAGTCCAAGTGGAGTCGTCAGGAATTGTTTCCCACAAGATGTTATATATGAATACTCGTTGGATGAATTCGTGACTCCAATTATCGGATACAATTGATAGAATTGTTTACTTCTTCGCAGTAGCTCCGAGTTTCCATTACCATTAATCTTTAAATGCATTTGATTGTAAATATTTATTGTCTGTTTCCGTACACTAATAAAAATTAAAAACACAGTATTGGAAATGACGAATTTTATATTTATATAT